CCCTCCCACCCAGCCCCACTGCACCTCCCCAAGGACGACACCGGCACATGCCACCCTCGCTGTTCAGCTTGCTTTAATATCTGCACTGGAAGGTAAGGCGTTGCACAGTTGCACAGGGACTGGCGTGAGCCTGGGCTGCAGGAGGTCTTCCTTCCTCCCAGAGCTGAGGTGGGAGCAGTGGGAGTGGGGGAGGCACAGCTCAGCCCCTCAGAGGTTGTTCAGTTCCAGAAGAGTTTGGTCCAGGACCTGATGAATGCTGACATTCTCCTCTTTGGCACTGGCCAGGTTCTCTGCAAACACAAGGCAGGCGGGCAGGCACACGCACCCAGACACACACACACAGCCAGATCGAGGGACCATCCCAAGTGAGAGGAAGAAAGGAAGGCACACGCACAGACACACACGCACCCAAGGGGTACTTCAGTCCAGCTGCTCCTGTACAAGAATGCACCTCCCAACAGGAGTAGCCGCTACAAGAATGCCAGGCAAATAGGGATGGGGCTGCCCAGATGTGAGCATCTGGTCGCAAAGAGAGGGCCAGGCCAATGCATCACAGCTTTTTGAGGGTGCCAAGAGACTGAGAGGGCAGCAACTGCTCAGAGGAGATGGAAAGACAGAGGGGAGGCATTGCTAACAAGGACTGTGCCCCACCGCCTGGGATTCTCTAGCCCAGGGAGAGGCTCCCTGGGGCCCTCCAGGTTCTTCACCGTTCAACTCCTCCCAGTTCCCAGCAGCAGCAGCAGTCCCCCCAATAAACCGGCCATCCCTGGGCACCCCTAAGCCTCTGCTGCCAGGGAGATGGCGGACAAAGGCTTGTCCTCTTTCCTGCACGCAGCCTGGGCACAAACCCTTTTCCTTCCTGCAGGGACAGCCCCAGCAGGCAGAGGGCGCCACCCTGCCTGGCCTCCCCTCCCCCCAGAGAGTGTTGCTGCAGCCCCACCCACCCATGTGGCCAGGAGGGACCTTCTCCTCGGCCACACAAGGAAACACCCTCCCAGGAAAGGGGATGTCACAGGGCAGGGCAGGGCAGGGCGACGCTAACTCAGTTGTGGAGGCCGTTGAGGACCAGCCGGAGTTCTCTAGCAAGGAGACGGTTTTTCTCTGCCTCCTGCTGGGAGCGTGCTAGAGAAGAGGCAGAGACGTCGGTGGTGGCAGCAGCGAGAGAGAGAGAGAGAAGGAAGGAAGGAAGGAAGGAAGACACAGCCATCAGTGCAGAAGAAACTGGAAAACAGGGTGGCCGAGTGCTCAATCCCCCGAACCCTCTTCCCAGACCACCAGAGAAGGCAGCTGCTGTCCCGGGACATCCAGCGGAAGCCAACTCCACCCCCTCATTTCCGCCTGGCTCTCCTCGAACGAGTGCGGGCACAGAAGCAAGAAACATCTGCCTGGTGAGGTAGGCAGGGGAGCACATTCTTAATGCAGACACTGCTGCGGGGTGGCAGGGTGTCACCCCAGGAAAAGCACTGACTAATCCTCGATGCTGAACCTGCAGGAGAGAGGACAGCTCTGGCCCCGCTTTTGGCACACCCGGCAGACTGCTGAGTTCAGGCTGACCCGGAGCTGCTCCATTCGCTTTGCCTGGAAGCCGGGTGAATGAAGGGCCAACGTCTACTAACCCTTCCTCACTCAGCCGAGGGAGGCAGGGGGGCTCGCCCCCCCCCCCCCGTGCCTGGAAACCTGTTCCCAAGCCAGAGGAACGTGCGACCTCAGGGGCCTGCGAGGAAACTTGGCTCTGTTACTCCCCGGCCTCCGCTTGACTTTAAGGGGCGAGGGGGCGGCAGGTCCAACGGGCATGATGAGCGATGGGCACGACCAGAGTGTTTAAATGAAGAGGCAGAAATGGAGAGAGGAGGAGAGCTTGAGAGATGTTTATTGAAACGAAGGCTGGAAGAAGATGAGAACAGAAGAACATGGAAGGCACCACGGAAGAAAGGCAAGGACAGACAAGCAGAGCTGAGAGGGTCCAGCAGGGGCCTGGGGTCTAAGCTGCCTGTCGGCCCTTCCTTCCCACCCAAGCAGGATCCTCTTCCTGGCCCACAGAGCTCCCCCTGCCCCACATAAGGCAGGCTGCTTTGCTAGCACAGCCAGCCCCCCAATACTGCAGCGCTAGAGGCACTTGGGAAATCCCCGCCCCCCATGGAAAGCCCTCCCCACCCCCCCAGGGGTGCACTTGGACAAGTGTGGGGAGGGGAAGGGAGCTGGCAGTGCATCTGCAGAAGGAGGGGGTGCCAAGAGGGTGGCTGGCAAGGCAGGGCAGGGCAGGGCAGGGGAGGGAAGCCGTGCTGGGGCTCAGAGGGAAGTGATGTCATTCAGCGCATTGTCCAGCTCCTCACTGATGGCCTTGTACTTCATCTTCTGGGCATAGACCTCGTCTGCAGCCAGCGTGCAGGGAGGGTGGACGTAATGCAGGGAGTGAGACGCAGCCAGGCAGTGGGGGGGAGAAAAGAGTGAAGGTGAGAGGAAGGAAAAGAGGTGGGGGAGGAGACTCTCGCACAGCGGCACTGATCTCTCACCACAGCCCCCCACTCAGCCGCCTGCGGGCATCGACCCTTCCACCCACCTGCGGGCCAAACAGTCGGGGGGAGGAGGGGGGCTTACCTTCTAAATCGTCAATGGTCTTCTCTAACTTTGCCACAGACCTCTCAGCGAACTCTGCCCGAGTCTCAGCCTGGGGAGAGGGAGCAGGGAGAAAAGGGGCAAGGGCGGGGGAGATTTACAAGGGCCCAGAAACAAAGGAGATGCCCTTACAGGCAGAAGCAACCCTGAACCACTGGAGAAAGGGGCACTCCTGCCTCCCATTCTGCCTCCTCTGAACCCCCAAAGCAGACCAGTGACCCCTCTGTCTCCCCTCCCTCGACTCTCATTCTGCCTAGCCCGCCCGCCCCCCGCTGCCCTTTATTAAAATCTGGGCAGGGTCATGCTAAGGAGGATAAGTGCATGGACAGCTATGGTTCCAGGCGCTGCCAGTCTATGGTCTGTCACACGCGCCCCACTCAGAAACAGGAATCTGGTGCCCCCTCCCCTCCCCTCGCCACTGCCATTCCAAATGGCAGACCAGCACACCTTGATATTGGGGGACAGGGGAAGAAGTTGCACTGGCATTTCAGCCATGAGTGCCCAGCCATTCAAGGTGAGGGCGAGGACCAAACCATGTCAAAGAGGAGCCTGGGGCCTGATTCCGCCACCCCCTGCTTGCCTGTCCACAGTCCCTCTCTGGGCCAGGAAGCCCCGGGGCCTTGAGAGCCTCCCTGCCAAGCTGGCACCCTTCTGTGCTTCCAGAGAGATCTGGCGGGGGGGGGAGGGAGCGCTCAGCGGAGAAGGCAGAGCTTCCGCTGCCCGTGGGGGAAAGACCCACCGTGCCCACAGGGACGTAAGCTGCCTAGAATCTGGAAAGGACTAGAGGCTCATGAGTGGGGGCGGGGAATGGGATAGCCTCCCCCCAGCAGAAGTCAGGCAAGGAGGAATAAAGAGCAGTGGCTCCGGGTAGCCCAACCACAGAAAGGAGACCATGGCAACCGAGAAGATAGGAGCCAAGGAGATCAATGCAGGGGATTCTCTGTCTAAAGCCCCCCCCCCCGGTGAGAGACTTGGTGTGGGAT